TATGTTGCAGTAGAAACAATTACTTTCATAGCAGCCTGTGCTTTATGAGTTTAGTTGGAAGTTGTCTAATAGCATAGACAAGAGAATTGACTGTTAATATCTGCATGGCGAATGTCTTTTTAATATATATCTGTATTTTTTTTTTAATAACTAACAGAATTCATATGAAATAACTGTTATTTCCACAGCTGTTTTTCTTTGAATCAGTAAATACAAATGGCACTGTGAGGTCTTTTCCTCCCCCCTCCACCTCCCTCCCCCCGCAGGATATCTGTTAGAAAGCACTGGGGTTTTGTGATTGTAGTCAATCCAACAAAATCCCATGTTCCCTCCCAAAGCACTTCATGAATCACCTGTCTTGAGCTGAAGTGAAACTTCTAGATCGAATTTAGGGAGGGAGCTTTGTTTTCTTCAAAAAAAAAGTGCTAAAACACTTCCACTTGAAGTTGCTTTCATTTGAAAGTAAGTTGCCATGCTGAAATTTTCCTCTCTTTCCTCCAGCAAAAAAGCTGTGAATAAACTTTTCCTGGAGCAACTTCATTCAGGAGAGCATTATTTCTTGGCTCGGGAAACTACCGGTGAATGTTGGGTAAGAACGGGTGATTCACAACCAGGCTGTGCTGGGTAGTGATACGATAGCGAAATCACTACATGGCATGGAAATGAAGCTTATTATCATAAATATCCACTCAGAGACAATCTAGAAGTTAAAACAGTATACCAATGAGACAATTCCACCTCAGGGCATAGTTTACTACTAATCCTTAGCTCACCGCTTTGATGAGGACAGATCAAACACCAAGGCTGTAGATGAGTAGATTACATCAGTTAAGTGGATCCTGAAATCTTGGCTTACAAAATTTTGCAATGCATGAGTGACAGATGGATTTGCACAATTTGGATTGCCAAGCTACATCAAGACCGTTAGGACTCCTGTCTGCGCAGTCCTTCAGGTCTCGCAGTCCATCTGCATAATATTCCAAGGCTCAAGCATTTACTACAACCCAATACTCTGCCCCTGATCCAGTCGCCAGACAAAATGGATAGGAGGGAGGATCTCAAGAAGCTGTAGAACGAACAAAAAGTTTTCTTCTGGGAGGTAAAAAAGGAGTTTGCAATGGTTAATGATGAGGCTAATTAGTAACATACGAAGGTGTCTGCTTCAAGTGCCTGAAAAAATTTTCCTATTTGACACAATACCAGGAAAAACAAGGGAGGGGACTTCCTCAGTGACTGGGAAGCAGAACTGCTGAAACTTTTGTTGTTCATGCAAATTTAATCCCTCCTGCCAGCTGAGCACAGCATCAAGGTAGTCTGCAAGGAAGCTAGAAGTTGAAGGGTTTTATGCAGCTGTTCCTTTAAAAAACACATTATGATGCTGCATTAAGCCTTTGTCAAATATAAATGTGTTTTACCAGAAAGAAAACCCCACCAACAATGCAAACCTTACAGCATGAAGTTCAGCCTACAAGAATAAATATTTCAAACATCACTGAATGTAACAATGGAGATGCAGTGGGCATGCCTGCAAGTACTGAGGCCACAGGTTTGAGTTAGTCTACGCTACAATAAAAATAGTATTTGTGTCTGCTGTTCTTGACATACGTGCAGAAAGGCAAGTAGCAGAAAAAGAGTTGAGGTTGTCAGTGATTCATCATCTTGCAGCCTGAGTGGGGGAGACGTGCACAGTTGTTCTCAGCATGTCATTAATTTTAGGCTGTAGGGCTTTTCTGGACTGGAGTTTTAATAGGAGTATTCTCCAGCAGGACCAAAACTTTCTGCAGTTACTCCAGCAGCTGCTTCTGGATGTTCCTGTGTTTCTCAGTACTGTCTTCTGACAATTTTCTATGCCTCTCCCTTTTTTCAGAGAGGCTTCTCTCTTCTTTCTGTGGTCTGATCCCTCTTCAGGATACGATAATTGAATTGATCTTACTCTACAGGCATGGATGGTGAGCAAGACGGATGGGCCCCTCACTACAAGAAGGGCATTGAGGTGCTGGAGCGTGTCCAGAGAGGGGCAACGAAGCTGGTGAAGGGCCTGGAGCACAAGTCTACAACTACCTGAAAGGGGGTTGTAGCGAGGTGGGGGTTGGTCTCTTCTGCCAAGTAACTAGCGATAGACGAGAAGAAATGGCCTCAAGTTGCGCCAGGGGAGGTTTAGACTGGACATTAGGAAAAACTTCTTTACTGAAAGAGTGGTCAGGCCTTGGAACAGGCTGCCCAGGGAAGTGGTTGAGTCACCATCCCTGGAGGTATTTAAAAGACGTGTAGATGAGGCGCTTAGGGACATGGTTTAGTGGGCATGGTGGTGTTGGGTTGACGGTTGGACTCGATGATCTTAGAGGTCTTTTCCAACCTTAATGATTCTATGATACTATGATTCTATGATTCAAAGCAAATAAGAAAAGGAATATTAATCCGATCCAGCTGATCTCTGGAAACTGTTCTGAATCTTCTAACATTATCAGAATATTCTTAGTTAGCTTTTGTGCAGTAGTTTCTAAGATAGTATTTTATATAAATAACCTCTGTTAAAAATAAGCGAGAAGATAGCTCAACTACAAATACATCATCCAGTTCAAATCTTTATTGATCACTGAAGATTTAAAGGAAAAAAATCTTCACAAAACTATTACAGAGTGCACAAGAATATATTCTCAGTAGATGGAATTCAGTCAGCTTTCTTCCTCATAGTAGACTATTCTACCTTAATTTGCACATACCTTTAAAAGGGGTAGTGGTACAGTTGTATTTAAAAATGTTCGCTGGCTTTGGAAGCAAACAGAATCGCTTCCAGAAGACATGAGACTTCTTTTAAGTTATCATGAAGGAGGAAGGAGATTAAATAGGTAAGTTATAACAGAGGCAACATTACTATGCCAAAGGGCAAAATAAACTTTCTTACTGAGCTAGCCACACAATCCTGTGTCTGCATCTTGCTACATGAGTAATGGCTTTTTATATTCTTTAAGAGCAGTAGGGGAAATATGGTAGTCAAAACAACACTGATGGTATTTATATTTGAAATGCTCAGCATAAATAGAAACTTATTTGCTTGTGATGCATTTGATTTTTTTACAGGCTTAGAAGAGTAAATAACCTTAACTTGACTCACATGTGCTACAGGCGATCGTTGTGGAAGAACTGGCATGCAATAACTTGTACCTGCTCAAGACAGTGGCTCATGACCTGCTTTGTCGTTATCTTATATCATATCTTGAGCACCATCTGAGAAGTGCTAGGACCTGGTTTTTTATATGATAACATGGCAGGAGACTGAAAATGTAGGGACAAAGGCTCAGGGAGTTACAGTCTAGTGTGGAGAGATGGAATATGATGCAGGAGATGGTAGAAGCATAGATCAGAAAAAATGAGCTGTAGAAGTGGGAGTTCTATAACAAGGTGTGATTTTGAAAGACCTGTGACAAGTAGGTCCATGCAGTAGTCCAGATCACAGTACTAGCAGACACCTGAAGCCAGCCAACAAGCGGAAGATACTATGATCTCCTAAGAGTGATGTTTTATCTTTTACCCCAGTCTCCCAACAGAATACAAACAGCAGAATGGTAAGGAATTAGATAAAGACAAGAAACAAACCTTATAACAAGTGACTCTCTCAATACATGAGAGAGATCTGGGTGATTTAGCTATGCTATATTCTTCACCTGTCCCATAAACTGCTGCTGTCTGCTCTAATTCTCCTAACTTTCCATAGGCTACATGAGGTTTGATTTCCAAATTTTTCTCCATAATCAGGAGGGCTATATTTTTCCTGCTTTTAATAAAAGCTAAGATTCTGATGAAATCACTCCAGCACTTTGCATGAAGTCATATGAAGCTATTGGGTAATCGATTAACTCAGTTCTGAGCGGATTGTTTGTTTCTATGCCTTCTGCAGAAAAGCAGCTGGTAAGCCAACAGGAAAGTTGGGCTATAGTTTCAAGTATGAGCAATTACACGTTGAGAATTGAAGAAGCTGAAGAAGCTTTGATCAAAATTCATTGTAAAAAAAAATCCACCCTGTTCTAAGCAACAACTTCACTGCTGTAACTAACATGAAGACTATTCAGACAATTCATGTTTGCCTTTTCCCCACTACCTGCATATTTAGGCAGACTGGTTTTGCACAGGGACCTATCCATTCACAGTGCAGCACATGACAGGGAAGGGCGGGTGGGATGGGGCTGTGGAGTCGTCATGGAGGTGCCATGGTGGCAGGGCTATATGCCCGGTGCCTGCCTTGGAGCCCCGCTGCGACCCTTGCACAGGGCACTCTGGTTTTTTCCTCCGTGGCAAGGTACCGTGCAGGCAGCCCTCTGCTCTGCTTGTTGCCATGGGACAATCAAGTGTTTGAAAGTGGGAGAATCCCACCTCAGGCTGTCACGTCCCTCAGCAACAGGCCCCGCTGCTCAGGAAAGGAGCCTGCCCGGAGGAAGGGAAGGACTGGCCTGCCAGCGCGGAGCTGCCTGCAAGCCTGGGGGTACTGAGTGCCATATCTAGTGGCTTTTGGGTTATAATGAGGTCACCTGGCCACACTGCATACTGGAAATGCAAGTGATACAGAATCATCCAGAAAGCCTGTTGGAGAGCTCTGAAGAGGGCTGCAGGTGCCGGACACTTACAAGTATTTTCCTCCTGTATTAAACACCCTTGAGGGTCAGGGGTTATGGCCTTGCATGTTGCGAAAGGTCAGCTGGGCATAGGCATTAAGCAAGAGGGAAAGTCTGCTAGAACTTGCTGTGCCAGGAATAAACTGTGAAAAACACAAATGTGAAAAAATCCAGACCTATTTACTATGTAATTCTGGTATAAGTGAACAACAAGGAGTGGAAAAACCAAAGCAGAAAATTATAGGGTGCTAGTGATCTCATCTAAAATACTGGAAATGTTTCCAAGCCTTAAATTTGCTGTATTGCCTAATTGTCTTGTTGGGCCGTAAAATAACATTTAAACCTTTTCTGAAATTTCCTAAAATGTCATGTTGTTTAAGTGACGCTTACCTGACTCTCCAGCCTGCTCAATGCTCCAGCAGAGTCTCGTGTTGGCCGCGCCATCCCCAGCATCCCACCTGCTGGAACATTACTCAGAACAGAAACACAGAATCTGGATCACGAAAGTACATTGTGGGACCTAGACGTGGAAAAAAAAGTATGTATAATGTTGCAATAGAGTCCTGAGTGGCTCTCAGCCCATCTATTAAGGATATTCAAAGCAGGAAGTTGCTGAAATTTTGCAAGTAACGTTTGCAAGTCCCCTTCAAATGTTCTAAATTAATGGAAAACACAAGACACAGACTTTTTAAAAGGGTTATTTTTATCTAGATAACAGAGACCCATCTTTGAATGCTGCAATACAAGGGGGGTTCCCCATGGAAAATTTATATTGTCATTAAAGGATAATTTTTGTGACTTCTGATAACAATCAGAAGAGAGGTTGTAGCCCAGGCAGCTAGTGTTAGAGTCACTAACATCAATATATTTCTGGTTTTTATAAAGGACTGGAAGAGTTCCCCTAATTACTACAACACAGCATGACAATTGGTTTTAATAGTTGCCTTTTACGTAGACACAGTACAGTCCAGCTATGCGATTTTACTTTTGTTCTCCCCTATTTTATGAAATAAATTAGAAGAGAATAAATGAGGCAAACCATATGGAACCAAGGTCAGGTCAGCAGCAATTCACTATACCACCTCCGTTTAAGCAGTGTTTTCATAGTAAAGATCCTGGCAACTGTCTAAGCAGCTCATTCCGCTTTTAATTACCTTTTTACAGATGACACAATAAAAGCTAATTGGAATGTTTCTCTTCTCTTTTAGAAACTTCTTTTTTTCCTAGCTTCACTTTCAAATCTTGCAAGTATTGGGTTTGGAGAAACAAACAAATTTTTGTTCAAACAACTGGGTTTGTATTCATAGCAAGACCTTGAAGAGATACAGCAGAAAATGATGAAGACATGTTGACAGAACAGTTTATTTGGACACTAATATTAGTATTTTTTATAGAAGGAGTCCCAATGCAATCTGCAAGAAAATAAGTTTGTGAAGGAAGCTGCCTACAGAAGTTGTGGAAGCTCCGTCCTCAGAGGTGTTAAAAAATCAATAAAGCCTGGAGCAACCTGCTCTAATGTTGAAGTTAGCCCTGCTTTAGGTGGGAGGCTGGAAGAGGTGACCTGTAGATCCCTCTTCCAATGTAAATTATTCAATGAATAATAGTCCTTGAATTAAAAAACGGCATGGAGGAAGGAGGCAGAAATATGCAAACATGCACAGATGTGTGATTGCATAAGCATTATTTTCTTAGAAAATTAAATTAAACACTGATAATTTCAAAGATATGGGCTGGGAACATTCCTATTTCTCTATGTGTAAGGGGACTATTGCTTACAGTTTTGTTAGGGCCTTCTGCAGTCTCAAACAATAAGACAGTTTCAGTTGCTTTTAGTTTGGTCAAGCTGAAATTGTTAGAGCTGAAATTTCCTACACTGAATTACTTACTCAGGCTAGCGATTTTCTTTTAGGTCCCCTCAAGAGTAGTTTAGTCATTTCCAAAAACAAATTAGCAGAAATACGCATTTCTTTCATATAAAGAAAATGTTTATAACCATTTAATTAAAGCTGTGCTTTTTAGTACTGTGTTCAACTTTGGCAGCCCAGAAAACCTGCATAAACTTGGCCAAGTCATGAGTGGCTTAGTTTATATAATTGCAGAAGAGATTTGTTGGCACTGTGTAGTTGGTCTCCAGCAGTCTCTTCACAATGAACATATTCCATCTCGGAGCTTCAGAGGCAAGCAGAACTCTTTGTATGTGAAAAAAAAAGGCTTCCTACAGGAACAATGTGGTGTAGGCTGAGGAACAGAAATCAGTGATGCTGCTGGTGCACAGCAGTGGAATTTGAGTAGTACGACTGAATGGAAAGCACAGCAAAGAATTAAGACAGGGTGGAGGTGAAAGGAAGGAGGAAAGGTTGAGTGTAGCAGAAGCGGGAGGATTTATGAACACTAAAGCATATTCTTCTCGAGAACTTGAAACTCAATCCTGTGCTCACTGCCTTCCCATGAATTCATAATTTTAAAAAGGTATTAAATCTTTAATCACAGTATGATGTAACGATTTCCTTTTTCTCTCACAGGATTTATGAACAAAATGGATTCTGTTCACCGAATGGACAAAGCTCCTGGAAAAAACTGTATAAATGTCCTTATTTGAAAAAGGAAGGTGTGTGGAAAAGGAGACAGAAGATCACAGAAAGAAAAGCATGGGTTCAATGACAAAGGCAGCTGAATGCAGCCCTCAGAACAGGAGTCCTGTCCCTGCCTTCATCTCACCGTCTGCCTGTGATTTGGGCAAGTTCCTTAACCCAAATTTTTCACATGCGACAATCATTTTCTGAGTTCCCTCCTACAGGAAATCTTGACTTTAAGTTGCTTTGTATATTTGTCCTTAGCATGAGATGATTCATGCTCCTCAGCCATGTATTTCTAGTCGTTATAGTCAGCTAGCTCAGATGCAGGTTTCTCCAGTGTAAATGCTACAGTTTGAAGAAATGAGTGCCCTCTACAGAGCTTAGTTCAAAAAAGCATTGAGTTCTCACAGCTGCAACAGAACACACTGGGGGCTATGTGTGAACACAGACAATCCTAGAGAATGCTAAACAATCTCTTAAAAAAAACCCCCATCTCCAGGTATCGCATACTGGACCCAAAATCATTAGGTTCTTCCAAGCTTTTTCCATTTGTTAAGTAAAATTCCCATTTTCTTATCCTTCAGGACTTTTGAGAAAAATGAACTAATTCATGTTCAAGAAGCAATTGGATACTATACTGGTAAGTGCCATAAAGGGAGGGCAAAAAAAGATGAAATTAATTATTCTGGATTTACAACATGGTGCAAGGAATGTGCAGCAAATCAGACATGGCACCATACAGAAGAAGAATACATGAAATACAGAATATTTACTTTTCACGGTTTTCCTGAGTTTTTAAATATATATATATACACACATACATATATATTTTAGCCAGTAAAACCACGTCTTGTGCCCATGTAACTAGTTACTATAAGATACAGTGTAACTAAGGCTGTAGTCCTCTTTTTATTAAATAAAAAAGATTTAAAAGTAAATAAAATGAGTGAAAGAAAGCTGTAAGCAGCGAGGCAGCATGTAAACCCCAGTACAATGACTTTTGCCGTCACCAGCATCCAGCGTTGGTCATCGCAGGGCAGGTTTACACTTGGAATCCCCAGGCTGAGAACAGGGACCAGTGCAATCCCAGGTGGGCTCCCAGTGCCGCCCTCCTTCCCATCCCCTCTGCTGCCCAGCAGTGATCTACGCTGCGCGTGGCAGCCCTGAGTACAACTAATTGCGTTAACTCTAGTATCAGAGCTAATCTAATCTGAGGAGTGTGAAACACTATCTGATCTATATTTACCCTGCCAAGAAGCAGCATAAAGAAAAACTCCACCTAGCAACTATACCATTACCAAAGTACACTAGCAGGAAAACAAATCATACTCTCTGTTTTTCTGCCGCAGGCTGCAACAGATGAGCCTGCGAGAGTTACTGTGACTCCCATTCCCTTGTTCTTAAAAGCACACTACGTGCACTCAGTTTTAACAGATATGCAGATGTCTATTATTCTAAAATACTTTGACACAGCCTAATATGGCATTCAAACCGAGGCTACATGACTCAGGAGAGAGCCAGTATGGCTTATACAAACAGATAAAATTAGTTATTTTTGAACAAGTGTCCTTACGTTGATACCTTTTACTCTTATAAGCAGGTTGGTGGCAGTAACCAGCTGCAGCTTTCAGATGTCAGGCGCATAGATTTCCATGTTCCTGCAATACCTCTACTCAGTCCTGGAAGGGCAGGTAAGGTTCCTAGTTCCCCTTGCATGAAGACACGGTGACACTTTGTCACTTGCTGAAGATACACGCAGGCACCACTGGTGCAAGTGCCGTAATTCTTAATTAGCCAATACACCGTCAAAACAAGCCACAGAGTTCATGTCTAATTTTCTATCATGTTGGTTACAGAATTGCTATTACGTTAATAGTTAACAACATATTAACAGTTAATATGATATTTAAGATACGTGGAGTGAAACCTTGTCAATGCTGTTATTCCTTTACATAAAATGGATCTTGTACTGCAATAGTCGTTCACAAGATCATTAGCTCAACAACTGCATTGTCATATTTTGTATCTGCACAAACAGGATCTGCGGCAGATGGTGACCTGACATCATCAATGAGCTCAAGTCCTTTCTCCAGCAGAGACAATAAACTTCTCCACACTGTCCTCAGTTATAGCTTAAACTCCAGGGAAGAAAATTGCTAAGCACTTGCCATTCACAACCTTCTGGCAGTCTGCAGCCAGGGAAGGGTGCAGTGGGAGCCATTTTTGGCTAGCGGTTTAGAATATGGCAATCCCTCCACTCAAAAATACATTACGGCCAGTAAATTTGCTTCACTTGTGCTTTTATTTACAAAAGGGCACCTTAAAACATTTGATAAATTCTAGTCATGGGTGGGCCGGTTTAGCAACTTTGGTAGAAGATTTTTTTAACTGTCACAGAGTCAACTCTTCTAGTCTACAAGTATTTTTATAAAGCAGTCTTTTAAAAACAGTTCCTCAGTGGGCAAAAAAATCAGCCATTTTTTGGTAAAGAATTTTTAAGCATTGGCACTAGAGTTAATTGATAAACTATTAAACTGTTAAGTTGTAATTTATAGTAGCTATAATGGCAACAATGTCTGAGTGATCACCCTATGCTGCCACTAAAGACATACCTCATCTGCTATAGCATGAAATACTGTAAGATGGTTTGTAACAATGCATATATCTTGTTACCTGCTGATAATAACCTATCGGCAAGGACAACAGTTTAATTATACAGTACATCTCCTGCTGGCTTCCAAATATTTCTGCTGCTCTTCACTAATTTCTTAGCTACAAAAGAATCAGTCTCCTTAATTTACACTAGTACATTAATTTATGAATGGAAGACAGCTGCTGAGATGCCCCAATTATTTGTGTTGTCATCAT